ATTTTTAGACTTTCCATTGATTTCTGTTTTTGGTTTCTAATTCTCTCAAAAAATTCTCAGCCTTATTTTCTATTGCCTTGCACACAATAATAATATATAAAATTTTATTTTAGAAAGGTTGTCTGATAACTTTAATAGTAAGACCCTTGCTTTTCTATTGTCCGTTTTGTTTTGTTTTTTGTGGCCTTAATTTATATTGCTTTATCATCCCATGGACTTTTTTTTATTGTGTCACTTTTTATTTGTAAACTTGTTTTTTAGAGCAATTTGAATAATTGCTAATATCTTTCTTTTGAATTATTCTTATTCCTAAGAGGCAGCCTGTAATGTATCCAGCTTTTATTGTTCTTAGCAGGAGACTTGATCCAAATTATCTAGTCCTCTATTACCTGAAATAGAAGACTATCTTAATATTTCTTGGTATAAGAGATAGATAATGCATTTTTTTTTCACAGTGTTTAAGGTAATTGAGTTGGGGTTTTCTCTTTTTAGCTAAAAGCCTCCTTATAGAATTAATATAAAAAAATAGAAGTTCTGGGCCGGCCAAGTAGCTCAGCTGGTTAAGAGCTCGCTTGGGAGCACCAGTTCTGAGCAGCAGGGCTGCAGTTCGGATCCCACATTGAGGGCCAGTGATGCTAGCCCTCTACAGCTAAGATGATGAACAACAGCTTGACCTGGACCTGGGCTGCTATGAGTCGCCTGCGACGGCATAGGCTGCAGCAGGCTGCCGTGAGCTATGTGAGTGGCTGGCAGCCAGCGTGAGTGGCTGGTAGCCGGCGTGAGCTACCGGGAACCGCTGTGAGCGGCTGACCAATGACCGGTGACCGATTGCCTCACCCGGGAAGAGCACAATGATCATACCAACATGGGCCAGTGAAGCGACGTCCTCTACAACCAGACTGAAGAACAAAACAGCAATTTGTCTACCTGTCTGTTCCCCTTCCCCTATTCCCCAACGCTCTTCCCCTCCCCGCAATTCCCCAATAAAATCTTTAAAAAAAAAGTTCTTTCTTTGGAACCTTGACTCTAGAATAGTGGAATCACTATTGAAGGTCAGAGAAGGAATTGCGTTTTATGAGGCCTTTCTATCTATGACGTATGACACTAGATATCTATTTGGAGGACGATCATAACTAGATTTTCAAAGATTATTATTGATAATTTGATTACTACTAAACTGGAGAACTGAATATGTTATATGTGCAAAATACTTAAAAATAGATATAAAATTCATTCTGACCTTGGTAAGACTCACACAAATAGGCAGATAGTTTTCTGTGATTCTTAAATATTTCTAAAGGAGAAAATTCTGAAAAGACTATTGGCAGATGCAACCCAGTGGCTCATAACTTTAAGTTTGAGGCAAGAAGTTCTTTTCAAATCTAATCTATTTTATTTAAACCCATTCATATCCAATCATCACAGAAATAGAGAACAGTTAGTGATTATAATCCATACTATGGCCTGTTTTTATCAGTGTAGGACTCATAAACCCAGACAAAAGCTGTATGAACAAAGGCATGATGTGCATATTTGTTCAGGGGAAGCTGGAGTAGGATGTTTTTGGCAGATGGTAGGAAATGAGACTAAACAAGGTAAATTGAGGCTGATTGTGTAGGGCCTTGAAATACTGGAGTGTTTTGACTTTGTCACATAGTAAATAAGAACTTTTGAGTGAGAGTGAGAAGTCAAATCAAAAGTTTTGAATATTTATCTGACAGTGCTTTGTGGGGTAGACCATATTGGAAACAGGGATAACATAAAGCTCTAATTATAAAGTAGTTATAAAGTGATAAGAGCCTGACTTTTTGTGGTTAACTAGGAATGAAGATAATGGAATGCATTTTAAAGAAGAATATTTGGTGTTTTTATGGGAGGTTGAGAGAGAACACAGAGAAGGCTTTGGATGTTAAGTGTGGATGAATGGTAGCATTATATTAGTATTTATACCAGAAGCTAGAAAATCAGGTTAGAGGTAGATTGAAAGCAAAGATGATGAATTTGGTTTAAGATAACTTGAATTTTACCTGAAAAATTGTTTTTGTAATTATTAAAAAGAAAATTTAACAATAAAATTATTGAAGTATAAGGAGGAAGTTGTCCTATGGAGGAGTCCCCCCATTATTATTTCTCCAGAAGTTACTATTATTATCAACTTGGTGTATATTATTTGACTGTATGTAAGTATGTATGTGTTTTTGTGTTTCATTCATAATCTCCATCTTTCTGTGGGGGCAGTAGAGACAGATGTAACTTCTTTTTAGTGCATAGTATAAATGTACCTTTATTTTTGGAAGTTTAGGTTATTTCTGATTTTTCTTTTTTTAAATTAAAAACAATGCAAAGGAAATTCTTTGTAATTATTTTTGGGTATTTTTCCAACTATTTTCATAGAATAAATACCTAGGATTGGGGCAGTGGTCAAGCAGATTTATCATTTTGATACAGGTAAATTTCCAGGGAGGTTCGTTTTAATTTTTGTGTGCATGTGTGCAAATTAACAATTGTTAATTTTTGTGTGTGTGTGTTGAAGGAAGTATATTATACATTTTGTGTGTGATGCCTATTGGTGATGTGTGATAATGGATTCTAGCTTTGTTAGTCACTAAAATTAACATATGAAAAGGTAATAAAATGGTAAACATCATCGTGGAACAGGAGAAATCCTCCTGGTTTGGGAAAAATACAAAAGCACAATATATACCAGGTGTGATCACAAAATATGGTGACTGCTGTTGCCAAGTGCCATCCAACAGAAAGACAGGGATCTTCAATATGGGAAATGGCACATCGACCCTTAGTAACAGTGTGTGACAAGTTTCATCTTGTACGGTGCAGTCAGTCGGGTGTGAGCTACAGTTAAAGTGTGCCATAAGTCATCCTCCATCGTGACAATGTTCCGTGTCACACATCGCTTCTGGTATATGACAGTTTCTGTCAAATAAAAACATTACAGTGTGTCCTCCTCCACCTTATTCATTGGTCTGGTACTGTGCTACTTCTGGCTCTTCCCCAAAGTCAAAATGACCATGAAAGGTAAATGTTTTTAGTCGATTCAGGACATCGAGGCAGCCATGACAGTGCAACTGAAGACACTCATAAGAGGACTTCCAGAGCTGCTTCAGAAAGTGGCAAGAATGATGGGATAAGTGTGTTCAAAGCAAGGGGCAATATTTTGAGAGGGATTAACGGCAATGTGTCTTTTACTGTAATATTTTTTTTTAATTTAAACATTTACCATATTTTTTTATCATACCTCATATATGTGTGTTTGCATAAGAGCTCAAATTGGACATGAGGTAATGGTGGTGGCGATTGAGAAAGGGATATCCTGAAATTAGTGAATTCCTGAAAACTACTTCCAGTAGATTTTAGTACCTAAAAGGAAGGAGATAAATCATTTTAACTTTATTTTATAAAATGTTTAGGTTTTAGTGAATTTGATTCCCATGGGGAGTTAACTCCCATTTTAAAGAAAGAATATTTACTGTCAATTCAACTGGAATTAAAAAAAAATGTTCATTTTAGCTTGAAAATATTTTTCCCTAGTAGTGGAAATAAAAGGTAGCTTTGGATTTTCTAAGGTAGGTTAAGCTTCTAGCTAATTAAAATTAAACCCTATAATGCCTTGTGGTGGTATTAGAAACTATGAGATAGGTTTATTGTATTTTTTTATCTCTTAAAAATTAATTTGGATCAAAGAGCAGAATCAAAATTACATGCCAATTTTATGATCCAGTTCATTAATTATATGGCAAATGTATACTCTTGACAGAATGATGTTGTGGCAGCTGCTATAAACAGTTCACTCTGCGCCTATGCAGATTGAATCCTGGTGCACAGTTAACATAATAGTAAGGTGTAAAGTATCCTTGGAGGCCTTTTTCTCCATTAAAATACAGTTTGACAGGAAACCAAAGCAATCCCAATTTTAGTTTAAAAATCTAATGTAATATGCATACATCACATTAATTTATCAGAAATGATGTATTTCAAGCAAGACTGAGTAGTTTAAGTAATTTAGGCTAAAGATCCTTTCTTGAGTAACAAAAGGTAATTCATGATAACCCATGACTGAGGGAGATACTTTTAAGGAAAAAAATATATGAGTATAATAGTTTTGAGAAAGACTAATGAAGTTAAAGGGGACAGAATTACTTTGATTAAAATATTTGTTTTTAATTATTTACAATAATAACACTGTCATTTTTTGTACTTTCAAATATAGGTGAGTAATTTATTTTTCATTTTTTTAAATTAAATTTATTGGGGTGACAATAGTAAAATTATATAGGTTTCAAGTTTATACTTCTATAATACATCATCTATATATCACATCGTGTGATCATTTTTCACTTTTCAATAAAACAAACATTTAGTAACTTCCATAATCCTGGGTTAGTGCTTTTGGGGATAGCTGATGTGATTTAGTTTCCTGTTCCTAGCACAGTGTGTAACATGTAAGAGTGGTCAATATTTATTCATTGACGAATTTCTCATCTGAGTTGGTGCCCTGAGTGCAGTTCACCTTGTATCAAATAAAAGACCCGGTGTTGCATTAATTACAGACATAGTTACTTGCTGAAGGTAATCTTTGTGAAGACTGTGTTTCTCCCCAGCCATTTACCAAGTTCCAAATGGCTTTACCCTTGGTTTTGGGGTAAGGATTTTATACCAGGATCCACCCTTGAAGTTTACCCCATTAGCTTTGGGAAACATCTGGGATTTGTGAATCCAGGAGCACCTAAACTGGAAAAGTCAGTACTTGTAGTTAGGTTAATACCTGAAGATGTGACTTGGTGGTCATAGAAACTGCGTGGAAGTAAAGACGTTTTGGTAAAGTATGATTCAACTTTATTCTTGAATTTTGTTTTTTGAATAATTGAAAATCTGAAAATTGGGTTTTAGTATAGAAATGATAAGGAGAATAATAAGTGATAAAAATATATAACACTTGAGGAAGTTCACTAATTGTTAATTAAGTGTATTTCTCTGTGCAGGTATAAAATTGGCCTCCCAAGATTCTGTCCTAACAAGAAGGAAGTGGAAAATACTCTTGGAAATAAAATTGAGACAGTAAGAAGGCCAGAATTTATTTGTACATGGTTGTCAGCTCACCTACCAAGATGGACACTTTTCCCACCAATTTTCCTCCTGGTGGAGACAGTGAGATGACAGGTTCTCACTCTGAGTTCCAAAATATGTTAATTGATGAAAGGTTACGATGTGCTCATCATAAAACTAATTATCAGACTCTGAAAACTGAACACACAAGGTAAATTACTTAAATTTGGAGATGACGGGCTCTATTAAAAATTTTTTTGAATGTTTGCTCTGGAACATACAGTATTATTTTGTTATTTTGCAGTATATACATTTAAAACTTTTAATACAGTAGTTTTTTGCTTTAAAATGACTTTTTAAAAAACTAAGAATGCTATCAAGTAGGTTATGAATTTATAAAAGTCTTGTTTTGAAAGTAGCAAGACATAAAATTAAATGTATTGGATGGCTAAATTTGTTTTTTCTTTTCAAAGTAAAATTACATTCAGAAACTACAGTGTTAATAATTAAATGAAACTATAAAGAGAACACATTTGCAATTTTAGTGGAATATATGATATTGGTCTTATTCTGTAGTGTTGGTTGACTTTACGTAAAGAGATGCAATTAGAAAGCAAAGGATACACTTAAAATTGAATTCTTCTAATTTTAAAAATCAGGTTGCAAGATGAGTACATAAAGTCACAAAATGAACTCAAGCGCCTGATGAATGAAAAGCAAACTAACCAGGAAAAACTACAGCTGCTGCTTGAAGAACTAAGAGAGGAATTAGTACAGAAAACTAACGACTTAGAAGAAATGAAGCTGCAGGTAAGAAAATATACTTGAGTTAATATAAAAATAGTCAGATGTTTAGTGGAAGTAAGTAATTTTGGTAAATTCTGTCTGTACTCTTAAGTATTTTGCTATATCCCAACTGGTCTAATTTAATTCTCTTTCTTATATTATTCTAGAAAGTTCGCTACCATGTTAGGGTTTAGCTGCGATACTGTTATTTTATGTAAATTTCTTACCTATTCTGATTTAAATAATATTTCACTGTTCAGAATAATTGAGAGAAAGGCCAGGTTTAATTGATAAAAATTCAGAATTAAAGAATATTTTTTAAAGAAAGATTTACAGTAAAACCTTGGATTGCTGGTAACTTGGTTTGCGAGTGTTCCGCAAGATGCTCAAACATTTCTAATACATTTTAATGTGGTAAAGGAGTGATCTCTTGCAATACGAGTAGTTTGTTTCCAGAACGAATTATGCTCGCAAACCAAGGTATTACTGTACTGTTTTTCACTAAAGTATTGTAACTGAAATTAAGCTAAAAAAGTCTGATAGTTATTTTTAAGGAGCTTCTTAAAAGACACTGTGAAAATAATATATGCACATAATTTATGTGCACAATGTAAGGTAAATGGAGCCTTTAAAGCAAAAGATCGTTGGTACTTACGTACCGACTATAGTTTCTTTAATTAGTTTTCACAGTTTTTAATTTGCCAAGGAAGTAGAGGAAAGCTAAACTTCGGCACCAGTCAAACTAGCTATAAATTTCAAATTAGTAGTGATATTCCTGTATTCATTTAATCTCCAAATAGCACCAGCTGTTTATTTCTGCTTATCTACTATTTGATACAAATAATAAGGTGTTATTACTACCAGAGTTATAAGTTGATAAAGTAAAAAGCCATCTTTCGAGTGATCTAGTATGGCACATCACCCAACTCATGGATTCCTTTGGGAGCAGTGTTGGAAGAAGTTTGCCATTCAGTATCTCCTTGAAATCTTCCATAGTGGGGAACACTACCACTAAACTTGGGTTGGAGCCTTTACTGTGCTTACTGTTTTGTTTAGAGGAATATTTAGGACATTTAAACAAAACAAAACAAAACAAAACTGCAGAGGGAAATACAGTTTAAGGCGTTAGAATTGGATTAATTTGTTTTGCAGAAGTTGAGAAACCTGTATGAATGGAATCTGTGAGCACTGAATGAACCCAAGGTATTGAGAGTATTCTGCAGGCATTACAAATGTAATGACTGTCTCTTGAGAGTAACATCTATACAGGCTGATTTGTACCAAGTACATGCAAACAGTAAGCTTAAGAAGACTGGAGTGGCTATATTAATATCAGATAAAATAGACTTCAAGACAGAGTATCACTAAAGATAAAAAGGACATTTTTATAACAAAAAAAAGGGTCAGTTTACCAGGAGGATGATGACCTTCAACAAATAGCTATGTTTCTGTGCCTTAGTTTTCTCATATGGTAAAGGGGATAAAAGTTGTTATCGAACAGGAGTTGTTGTGATGACCAATGAGATAATTTATATTTTTAGTACATCATATGGCACATAGTAGGTACTCATAAATGATGGCTATTTTTTATTCTATTTGAATGCAGGCCCCATGAGGGCAGGAACTTTTTTTCAGTGTGCCTCCCGTACTCAAGGCAGTGCTAGAAAATGTTTGTGGAATGAATGACATGAATAAATAGAATAAATGAATGAGTGAGAATTGTTCTGTTCATACTGTATAATATTGCACTTCTTGTTTTATACACACCTAGACCCTCTGTGTCTTAGAGTTGATAATCATCTAGTTCTGTTTCATATCTGTTGTGAGTTGAATTGTGTCCCCTAAAAAGGTATGTTGAAGTTCTAACTCCCAGTACAGTGATCTTAGTTTGGAGATAGGGTCTTTGCAGACCTGACTGGTTAAGACGAGCCCATACTGAAGTATGTTGAGCCCTTAATCCAATATGCCTGGTTCCTTATAAGAAGAGGAGAAGAGACACAGAGCGAGAAACACACAGGTGGTGGAGAGTGGGGGACGGGAAGGAGGTCCTGTGATCACAGAAGCAGAGATTGAAGTGCTGCAGCTGCCAAGGAGCGCCAAGGAGCGCCAGCCACCTTCAGCAGCTTGGACGGAGGCAAGGAAAGATTCACCCACAGTTTTCAGAGGGAGCATGGCCTTGCTGACGCCTTGATTTTGGACTTCTGGCCTCCAGAACTGTGAGACAATACATTTCTGTTGTGTTAAACCACCTGGTTTGGCTCTTTTTGTTATGGCAGCCCTGGGAAACGAATACACTATCCAAAGTAGTTCCTTTTTGGAACACCTATGGCACATGGGTCTTCATTCTCTGCTTCAGGGCTGTCATGCTAGAGAACCCGGTGAACTTTTAAAGTGATCCAGTTCCCTTTATGGACTGGAATATGGTAAGCATTTTCTGTCTTGTATTGCAATGAAATCATCCTCCCTGTAGTCTCCCTGTTTGTTCTTGTACTGTTCTTTGGATCTGCACAAAATAATAGTACTTTTCTCCACATGATAACTTCCCAAATGTTTGCTGAAAAACATAATTTATCTGGTAAATTTCTGTTTTCCAAGATAAACATGCCTGGTTTCTATGTGATATTTATCTGGCAAAAATTAACTAAAGAAACATCTATGCATATCCATACATATATTGAAGCAATTTAGCTATTTGCTTTAATGGATGTTTGCAATTTGTACAAATTGTGAGTTAAGTTCAGTAAATTCAAGAGAGTAAGATCAGCAAGAAATATTTCAGTGAAGGTTTCTGAAAGATGATTATTTTAAAAATATACATGTATTATCTTGTCTACCTGCAAAATACCTTTTCTGAGTTGAGATTTAATATTCCTTTGCCTTTTATAGAAAAACGATATGAAAGACATTCATTTAAAGAATAATTCTGGGTCACGTGTAGTTGTAGTGAATGAGAATAACAATAGTGCCTGGCTCAGAGGATGATTGTAAAGATGAAAATGAGACAACACATAGTGTTAGCATAGTGCTTTGATGTAGTAAATGGTTAGAACATGTTAGCTATTATTGTTATTATGTTAGCAAAACCTTTTAAAAAAAAATGGGAGTCATCTGATATATTTCTGATAAAAAATTTTTAAAATTAGTTTACCAAAATCGTACATGTTTTCTTTGTGCTAGGCAATGAAAACTATATAACTCAATATGTTTACTATTTTATTTGGTGTTAGAAAGCTCAGAGCAAAATTTATTACTCAGTTTCAGTCATTAATTTGTTAAGACTATCTGGCACAGCAATATTTGCCCTCTTAAATTAAAACATTAAAACATTCTTTGAAAAATATTGGCCTATTTTATGTTAATATGCAAGTGTTAGAATGTTAAAGATTTGTTTTTATAGATTTAATATAGGTAGTGACACACAGACTGTTGGATGATAAAGCATTCTTGTAAGTTTCTTTTGAGACAAGTAGTCGCAGTATTCCATTAGAAGTCTAAGACACAGCATAATTTCCTCTTAAAATGGCATGGGGAAAATCCTCTAATTCTGTCTATGCCTCTGATGTATGTGTGCTTTGAAAGAGAGGGGTAAGGAGGGAAGATAGATCTTTTATTTTTTTTTAATGTGTGTGCTTGTTTTTAATAAGATTTTTAGACAATAAAGAAAAATCTTACGGAGACCCTTTTTTAGAGACCTTATAGATCATGAGATTCACTTGTAGTTACCAATTTCAGTGTCCTTTATTCCTTTTGTATAGATTCTGGTTCCATCTGTCTTGGAACCAGAAGTCCTTGGCAGCTGCAGCACTTTTCCTACTGTCTTAAGGACATTCATTATTAACATGTTATAATGCAAATCTAGTGAGAAATTTTTTCAGCTTTTATATATCTAAAAATAATTTTTTTAAGGTATTTTTGCTGAGTATTGAATCTATCTAGACAGTTTTAACCCCCAGTACTCTGAAGATGTTGTTCTACTGTCTTCTCACTTAACGGTGTTTCATGCTGTCATCATCCTTAACTTTGTTCTGTGTATTCAGTGTCTTTTTTTTTTTGGTGGTTTTTTTTTTCTTTTTTATTGGCTGCTCTTAAGATTTTACTTTTATTGCTGATTTTGAGCAATTTGATTGCCATGCCTTTGCACTTTTCTTCATGTTTCTGATGCTGGGGTTTATTGGACTTCTTGGGTCTGGGTTTATAGTTTTATCAAACTTAGAAAATTTTTCGAAATCTCATTTTTTTTTTTTTTTGCCTGCTCTTTCATCTCCTTTGGGGACTCCAATGTTAGGCCACTTAAAGTTCTCCTATAGTTCACTGATACTGTATTTTTAATCTTTTTTGTCTTTTTGTTTCATTTTGGATAGTTTCTGTTGTCATGTCTTCAAGTTTGCTGATCTTTTTTTCTGCAATGTCTAATCTGCCACTAAGTCCACACAGTGTATTTTTCACTGCAGAAATTGTAGTTTTTATCTTGAAGTCTAGTTTTGGTCTTTTCATATCTTCCTTATCTTAACATGTTTCTTCTTTTATCTAGCTTTTTGAACGTACTGAATTCAGTTAATGTCTTTGCTAATTCTAACATTTCCTGGGTTGGTTTTGGTTGGTTGATTTTCTTTTCCTGTATATTGTGAGTAGTATTTTCCTGCTTTTTTCATGCCTGGTCAGTTTTTCTCGTAAATTTTACTTTTCTGAGTGCTAGGTATTTTGTGTTTTGATAACTGTTCTTCCTGGGTCTTGTTAAATGGGAGCAGATCAGTATTTAATGCAGAGCTAATTACTTCCCACTGCTGGGGCCCTTCTCAGTGCTCCACGAGTTTCCCTATGAAATGGAGTTTTTCAGTTTGGCTTTTGGAAAAAGGAAATATTCTTAGCTGTGTATAATTGGGTAGTGATGCCTCTAATCCTTTCAGGTAGTGCTTTTCCTGGCCTTAGGTATTTTCCTTACGGGCATAAGCTGCTGATCAGTACTCTACTGAATGAGTCGAGAGGGACCTTTTACAGATCTTCATAATCTTCTTTCTGTGCCA